ACACAAAAACAACACAAACACTGAAGTTAAACTCCAGCTGCAAACACAAAAACAACACAAACACTGAAGTTAAACTCCAGCTGCAAACACAAAAACAACACAAACACTGAAGTTAAACTCCAGCAGGAAACACAAAAACAACACAAACACTGAAGTTAAACTCCAGCAGGAAACACAAACTTTTACTGAAATTAGTTTTTGGTGAATATTCTAATAACTGAGGAGAAAAACTTAAACTTGGTCCAAACGTTTTGACAGAATAAAGTTTTAAAYGTGTTTGTTGTGTTGTAAAAATAAAGAACGACTTTATTTATCACTCAGTAAAGAACAAAAATCAGCTCAGATGGTTTTTAATAAAAATCTTAATTATCTGTATTTTACTGATGTTTCTGTCCAACCTTCAGCTGCTGATTGTTGATTTTTTGCTGTTTAGTTTGGTTTTTTTCAGTTTCTTCTAATATTCCTGATCTTCAGGCCTTGTTGGGTTAAAAAACTGAATTTATGCCTGAAGATCCTGTTAATAAACTGTTTGTTTGTTAAAGTTAGTGTAATCTGACCGTAGCCTCTCTGGTTTGAAGGATCTCTCTGGCCTCCTCGAAGTCGCAGCGCTCCTCCACACACTCCCGCTCCATGGAGCCGGGCTTCAGCTCCTCCAGGAAGCTGTTGGCTCGACGGGAGCGCAGCAGCATGTGGGCCCGCCGAGCCTCCGAGAAAACTGGACACAAACAGGAGATCTGAGTCCAGAAGCCTGGGGTCTACTGCTCCCAAGAGCCCAAACCATCAGCCTCCACCACCGTGCCGACGGCTGGCAGCTGCTGCACTGCATTGTGGGTAAATCTCTGTCCTCTGGTCCCATGTGGGTCCAGATGAGGGGAGCTCTTACCTGACAGACTGGAGACCGACGAGGACCACAGAGCCACGCAGACCAGCACACAGACCCCAAGGCGGGACATGACCTCAGCTCAATGGGTACCTGGAGTTTTCAGGAAGTGGATCAGGTCTGACAGGTAGACCAGATGAGACCTGGTGGAGCAGCTGCAGCTAAAAACACAGCTTGTGATGAAACAGTATTGATCCTCTGCAGCTGGAAGCTCTCAGGCCTCTGGACACAAACACAACCAGAGACAAACCTCAGTCTGAACAACAACCTCCAGGAGCTGAAGACACAACATCCCAGAACTGTTCCAACTTCAGACCAGGACTCAGAGACCAGAGACCGGTCTGTCCCAGAACACTGAAGGTCTTTTCATACTTACATGTAAATACCGCAGACCGACGAGATCTGCTCCGGTTCTGTTGTGTTAATAACTAACACCGGTGTTTACTGAGAGTCCACAGTCTGCAGCTGGACTCTGCCAGAACTCAGACCATTGATCTGGATTACTGGACTGGATCACGTGACTCGTGGTGCACTGCGGAGGTGCCATTGCCATGCATTGAGTCCTGATCAGGATCATCCATGAATGGTGGTAAAAAGGAGAAGCGGCAGAGGAATATCAAAAATGATGCGATGTTTTGTCAACACTGCTCACAAGATCAACATTTCACAGCTTATTAAAGTATTTTTAATTAAAAAAAAACATTGGAGATGTGGGAAGTAGGTCAGTTATGTTAGATTTTGACAAACTTAAGTCGGGTAAAACCGCAAAAAGACAAATTTTCTGTTCCAACAAATTATTATATTTTTTTTTACTGTTTTTATGGATTTACATTGTGGAAGGTTGAAAATATGATGGACAGCAGTAAAATTACCGTTACTACTAATAGGCTGAACTGTGTAGATCAATATTACTGGATGGTACTGGTGTTCTGTCCAGTCAGGACACACGTTGTGTGTCCTGACTGGACAGAACACCAGTACCATCCAGTCAGGACACATGTTGTGTCTGTAGTTTACAGGTTACCAGAGTAAAATTAACACCATGTCTTGTTTTTTATCTGTCCACCGTACATTTCATCTAATCTAACATTCAGACTAAAAGACTTGGGAAACCTGAAGGTTTAATTATCAGACTGAGAGCAGCAGAAACACAATATTTAATGAGCTGCTGAAAGTTTCATTTTAATGTCAGATTGTGTTTAATCTTTAATCTTTCAGGATTACAGTGTTAGTTTTCTGTAATTAAAACATTTTAATCGACATAAAACAAAAAAAAATCCTGCTTGGATTAAAGTAATCTRTACTTTGATCAAATCTCATCAYGATGCTGCCGCCGCCGTGCTTCACTGCAGACCTGCAGGGTTTAGATGGAGTTCTAACCACACTGGATTATAGAGTTTACTGTGGTTTATAATCAGATTAAAACAGCTGTAGGTGAAGCTTTGATCTGTTACGTGTTTGGTTCGTCCCACAGGTGAACCTCTGCAGGGACTCTCGCTCCCTGCGGCGAACGCCCAGATAAGGTGCCTGTGAGGAAACCGGGCCGGCCTCCAGGGTGTCGCTGAGCGCCGCCGGCGGTGGAAACCAGGACACTTTTTAAGGTTAACCATTCATCCCCTCGTTTCTTTTGTCCTCCGCCGTTCTTCTCACTTTTCATCAGATGTTTCTGGAAAATAAAAGCTGGCCCGAGGACATAAAGGACTCTTCTCTGGTTCCACGGGCTCCGGGGTGACTGGCGGGGATTTGGGACGAGGCGACGGCGGGTGTGGTCGTCTCRGGAACAAAACTTTTTGTCCAGGTCCGAAGAACTGGCTGTGAGCCCGCTGCTTTGTGTGGTCAGACCCACTTTGGCTCCGTTTTCAGATGGAAACCAGCAGATTCAGCTCAAAAAACACTTCTTTACATAAAACTAAAAACTCTGGATTCACAACATTTAAACCCGTCGCCCGCCTGCGTTTATATAACCTGGAGTGTTGGGACGACTCTCAGCTATCACCACACCAACATTTATTTTAGTTTAAAGTTTATTCATTTAAAAACAACAGAAATTCAACATACAACAAATCACAAATTAAATTAAATGAAAGGTAGCAGAAGAAATAATCTTATATCTTCCCC